CTTATATATATTTATCGTACGTTTCCATATTCTGTACATTTTTTTCTATTTTTATTAGTATTACAATTTGTTTTATTTTTTTGCAGTCAGATTCACCACTTCTAGCAATAGTGAACTTTCTGGGACTCACCGGCGTGGCGAGTGGCAGGACACTACTGATGAGGGTGTTGCTATTGACCAGGCGGATTGACCGTGCTAAACTGGCTACATGGAGAGTGCGAAACTAGCTGCATGTAGCCATAACTGAAATCATGCAGTTGTGTTTTTGAGTCTGCATAAAACACCTCGTGCTACAACATAGCACTGTAAAAGTCTTGTTTGTCAGTACCCTCCGAAAGTAAAACATAGGAACTGGTAGAACACCCCTGCCAGAGAAGCATCTTGCCAATCCCTGTCTGAGAGTCATCATGCTCTGCCTACGCAGTTTGCAAGGCTTTTGCTGCTCATAGTCTTTTTTGGTTTCAGCTTGGCCCGCAAGCCGAGGACTACCACAAGTCCATGCTCGAGCTTAGACAGAAGGTCTCTCCACGCGAAGTCGTTGTTTGGAGCCTCAGGAAGATGCATGCAGTTGGGCCGAATAAAGAAGCATGTATATGTTTATGGTCAAGTCCCTATGAATGATGGCACATTTTGTAAGCCATGTCCAACTGATTACAGGTTTTGTGTTGGGAATTTGCAATGGATCTACTTCTAGAATTTCTGGCGTCTCTATATATAGCGAACAAGCCATGTGTCATCCTTCTTTCGCTGTGCCTCTGGAGTTGTTGCAAGCAAGCTGAGACAGGTTGGCTGGTTCTCCACCGGCGATGAGATCAACGCCACCTCTGCGGTGATCCATGCCTTCTACTGCAAAAAGGAGTCCTGACTCGTCGCGTCGCGAGTCGGCCACCAAGCCACAAAGGGGAGGAACACTCGGAGTTGGTTTTCGGAATTCCGAGGGAATGAGCCCGTTGCTTTTGGAATCCGGTTTCGGGTTCTGAGGGACATGGGTGGTTGCCTTGCTTAGCTTTTGTGTGACAATTTTGGATCTTTTGATGTGCTGACCACCGTCGAAAGATGGCGGCCGAAAGAGCGCCAAAGAAGTTGGTTTAGGCTTGGAACCGCAACCTGCAGAGGAGTCATCGCAGTTTAACCCCACTGCAGTTTTGCCTGGCCCTCTTCACCTTCTGATTGACACCTCTTACTTGGCCCAACCGCTGGAAGCTCAGCAACGCTCTCGCAGGGTGATCGGCATCGTTGAAGCCCTTCAATCTCATTTGGATGGATGGTCAGAAGAGAACAAACTCCACGATGGTCAGAAGAGACACTATAGTTAGTTTTGAAAGTCTACACAATCACTATGACTATACAGTGGTAGGCAAGGGCTGACAAAGACAACGTTCTTCGCACAGTGCTCGTTTCTGTTTAACGGCCCACAACGTTTTTTTCACCCGCAATGGAAGCACTGCTGTTTCGGGGGTCGCCGGGCCGCGGTCGTGGGGTCGCGGTGGCGTTGCTGTTTTGTCCAGGTCCTTCGGCATTAAGACCTTCGTCAATGTCCGAACCGCAGTGGCTGGAAGCTGAGAGAACCTCCGGTCAGCAGAAACGAGCAGTCTGGGTTTGAATTTGGGATGCGGAATGGTACCACGCTGTTTGCCGCAGCAAAGCCTTTTTTCAAAAAAAATATTTTTTTCCACATCATCGAAGCCGATGACATACGGGCAGAGCGGCAGACCACGATCGCATGTCTCAACATGCGTGACTCCCCAACATTTCCATAATATTCTGTCCTCTTTAGACAGATTGGGTGGTTGTGGAAGCCCATGTAAGGCCTCCTGATGGGCTCCTGTCTTTCCCGAAGCATCGTGGATTCCAGGCCCCGGATGCGCGCGCTAGCTCCCCGCGCCTCCGAGGCGGAGAATTTGTTGCAATTCCATGAGGTGCCGCTCCGGGTGCAGACCAGCACCGCTGAGAAGCTAGGGCGCCCGAAGAGTGGGGTCAGAGAGGGGAGGGCCCCTTCTTTTCAGGGGTTTGCTTCATGGCTCGGCCACCAACCGCATGGGTTGCCGGGATTGGCCGGTTTCCCGACCAGGTGCCGACCAAGCAGTGTTATTCCATGAATTTAGGCTGCTTCGGGACACCACATATCCCTTTTACATTTATATATATATATATATTAATATGCAGAGAACACACACTTCGAACTTGGGTTTTCAGTTAACGCAATTGTCGCAATGGGAACGAAGGTGAGGGAACGGAAAGGCGCAAGAGTCCGCAAGAACTGTAGTGTTGAACAATGTTTGCAGCTGCACTTGAAAACGATCTGACATTCAAAGCGGCGTAAGGTGGCGGTGGGGTTTGTGGGACGTATCATGGAGAACCATGAATCAAACCGTGGAAGAGTAGGGTAACAGCTTGTGAGAGAACGAGCAGGTACACGGAAGTGATCAGCTTCCGCTTCCTAGGATCTTGCAAAGAGCTTCGTTGGGCAGAGCTTTGCAAGTCCTCTCTGCCCCCCTGCCTGTGTGGAATGGGAAGAGTGGTGGTGTAAAACCCTTTGTCCAGGGTGGGACACACACAGGTCGCCGCATTCGGCGCTTTTTCAAAAACCGGTGGCAAGCGTGGTAGTTATGCCCCTTTTGGACATATAGGTCCACAAGTTCAGCCGCAGCAACGTCAGCGCTGGAGGGTGGAAATGTGTATGTGAGCTTGTTGGTAGGTGTGTGTTCATGCATCTCGAATTAAGCAGAAGAGCTGTAATGCCCATCCTTGAGTTCTGTCGATGAAAAATCGCGGCAGCAACATAGCGAACATAGAAACACGCACATGATTGGAAAACATGAAAACAAAACTGAATGCTGAAATCAGAGATCTGAAGTTCGGAATCTGACGGATTCTTCAAGAACCGTTTTTTGGCCCGGCGGCCGGTGTGGCGGTTGATTCTGTGAGGGTGTCGGTGCCTTCCTGTGATAATCCAGTGAGCGGTGGTGCGTTGGGGTGGTTGCTTTCCCATGCAAGAACGGCGCCCCTGTGACGGGGATCACACTCAGCACCCGAGTGGGACGGCTGAGCAGGACACACTTCGAACTTGGGTTTTCAGTTAACGCAATTGTCGCAATGGGAACGAAGGTGAGGGAACGGAAAGGCGCAAGAGTCCGCAAGAACCGTAGTGTTGAACAATGTTTGCAGCTGCACTTGAAAACGATCTGACATTCAAAGCGGCGTAATGTGGCGGTGGGGTTTGTGGGACGTATCATGGAGAACCATGAATCAAACCGTGGAAGAGTAGGGTAACAGCTTGTGAGAGAACGAGCAGGTGCACGGAAGTGATCAGCTTCCGCTTCCTAGGATCTTGCAAAGAGCTTCGTTGGGCAGAGCTTTGCAAGCCCTCTCTGCCCCCCTGCCTGTGTGGAATGGGAAGAGTGGTGGTGTAAAACCCTTTGTCCAGGGTGGGACACAACCACACACACACACACCCCTCATGTTTATGTAGTTTTTGGGTGTGTCGCAAAGTCACGTTGGTGCTGGGTCTCATTTGTGAGGTATCTATCGCAAGAACAAAAAGCACCAGCTTGAGCAACTCAATGTTGGCCAGGAATGGTGACTACTAAGAACAATAAGCTACTAGGAACAAGTGCATCGCTTCTAGTAACAAGTGCCTTACTACTAGGAGCAAGAAGCTAGTAGAAACAATACTCAGGAGAACTTCGTTCGCCGCACATCCGGTGCATGACGTGTGCGGCATCGACGCGGAAGCACGCACCATTGAACCGGTCACAACCGATCTCCGGTTCAACGGATCCGAAGCGAAAGCGAACGACGTCAAACTGCAGCAATCTGAAGGACCCTACCCAAAGGGTAAGGGAGACATGAGACTCACCAGCCCTACAAGAAGCTTGGTTTGGTTGGAGGGCTGGTTGGGTTGCGGTTTGATCCATGAAGGAATACCGTTTCTTTGTTCGAAACGCTTGCCTGCAAGGTCCAGCATCTCCCAGTTGATGCATGCCAGACGAGCCAACCGAGAAGCTCTGGCGACTCGTGATTCTGCTAAGGACTGGGATTCTCCGGAAAGAGAGCGAAGGGAAAAGACACCAAAGGTTTTTTCAGCAAAACCCACTGGTTTTTGTGTGTGACATTGCAATTGGAGCATGGTGGTGAGATGGTCAGCCAGGATATGGCATCCTTGGATGGTCTACAAGGAGGTCTCAAGGAATTGCTGGGTGTGGGCCAAAGAAATACGGTGTGTGCGTGTTTTTGGTCAAAAGGGATCCCAAAGAGATAGTCCAGTGAATCCTTTTCAATCGTGCTCTTGGCTATATAGCTTATTGGATCCATTTCAGTGTTAGAAAGAAGTATCTAAAACAAGAAGAGCCCAAGGATGTCCTTCTAGGTGAGCTGATTTATGTCCAGGAGTTGTGATTGTGATTGCCAATGCCATGCTTTGATTCCGTGGCATTGGACCCAAAATGCGAATCCCAACCTACGCCATGAGCATGGCCGCGCGGGCGCATGAATGCGCGCCGCCGTCCATACGGCCACGTAATCGGCCACGTCAAGCGCGGCTCCAAGGCCTGTCCCGACGCATTCAGCAGTATGTTCGAGCTGTGCAGTCCGGAAAGGCTGGAACTTGGGGCCTTGGAATCTGGAGACGCCCAGAAGCGAGGGTGAACCGCGTACGTCTCCAGAGTCCTGCCTTCGGTGGTTGACCGTAAGCGAATCCAGGCAAGTCCACGTCTTTAGATGACTTACTTGGGCGAGAACGCCGGGAAGATGAGGACCTACTCTTCTTGGGCTCTTGTTACACCTCCATATCTAAATTCTGTATTGAGTGCCCAAACCATGTTCAAATTCAATGAGAGAGACTGGGACAAACACATACTTACAAACGAAAAGACAACACACACACACACACACTACATGTTTTCTCTTCAACTTTAAAGATCATCAATCCTTCAAATGATTCTATGCAGAAAGAACACCCCGATATCAAGGTACCTTCACATGCATCTAGTGAATGCAATTGCACTTTCCTTTGTAGACTCTTCCCCGCCGCCCATCTCTCGAGCTGATTTTTGGCCGCGCTGCCGCTCTCCTCGTGGCGTGCTGAGGAGAGAAGTGAGGGCTGGAGGGCCTGGCAGGTTCAATTAAACATAGATTACCCCCACAAAAGCTCTCACACTGCATTGCTGAATCTGTTTATGATGTTCTTGTTTTGGGTTCCGGGCACAAGAGCCACAAGTGAATTTATATATCACTTTTCCAGTGACATCAAGTTTCATGCTTGTTCTACTTTTGTTCGACCTGTTCTCGTGGCCTGGCAGGAAGGATGCACATTGAAGAGATCATCATAGATGGTTTCAAATCCTACTCGACCCGTGTGCCTGTCGGACCATTTGATCGGCAGTTCAATGCCATCACAGGCAGGAGCATTTTGAATCCTTGCGGCCAGTTTGACCTGGCGAGTGAGTGGTTTAGGGAGAGAGTCCTGGCATCCAATCCATTGCCTCCACGTCAGGTTTGAATGGAAGCGGAAAGTCGAACATCTTGGACGCGATTTGCTTTGTACTCGGCATCTCCAATCTTACGCAGGTCCGCGTTGGAAACCTGTCAGAGCTTGTGTACAAGCAGGGGCAGGCTGGTGTGACGAAGGCCAGCGTAACTATTGTCTTCAACAATGAGGACAAGCAGAACAGCCCGGTGGGGTATCTTGGTACACTCACCATCACTTTTGGTCACTTTGCAAATCAGAAGTCTTATAGAATCAGCTTACATCAGCTTAGCCTTGCTTCAACCAACGTTTTGCTTCGGCTTTTGATGACGCATCACTCAGAACGAAAACAATTATTCAGGTATGAGATGCACGACAAGATCATCATCACACGCCAGATTGTGATTGGAGGTCGAAATAGATACCTCTTGAACTCGCACAATGTGCAGCAGAATCAAATTCAGAATTTGTGGCTCGTTTCGGCAGACCTTTGCATTGGCCGCTTTGTACTGTTGATTTTCAACAAATCCTATACCATTTAGAACCACCAAAGCACAGGAAATCCAGTGGCTTTCCAACAGAACCTCCGCCACTGTTGTGCCACCGAATGGCCCAGGTTCCATTCGGTGTCGTTGAACGTCAACAATCCTCACTTCTTCATCATGCAGGGCCGCATCACGAAGGTGATCAACATGAAGCCTCAAGAGACGCTGAGTATGATTGAGGAGGCGGCCGGAACGCGCATGTATGAGAACAAGAAGGCCGTGGCTCTGAAGACCTTGGAAAAGAAGCAGAACAAGGCACAGCCCGGTTCGGGTTCCCTGTGCGGCTTCAAAGGGGTTGCAATAGACTCCTGAGGATAGCGTTTCGGGGAAGAGGAGGGCAAATAGTTTGGCCATAGGGACATCTTTCGGTTTGCAGAAGTCTTGGTTGGCATTCGGGAAAGCTGAAGCTTGTGGAGCGGTTCATTTCTGGAGTGGTTTTGTTTACTGTTCATTTTTCATGAACACAAGGCTTTTGGATGCTTTTGGGAAGCTGATTGAGTTCTTTGTTTTGAATGCCCAAATGCGCTTGTTTCTCATGATTATTCGATTATTCTGACACTCACCCAAGAAGAGGGCTTTGATGATTGTATATAACACGTCAGTCGAGCTGCGTGAGGCGTTGCCCGCATGTCAGCGCAGCCGGCAGGTTGAGGAGATCAATCGGCTTTTGTCGGAGGAGATCACGCCAACATTGGAAAAGTTGCAGAAGGAGAGGTCAAATTATATGAGCCTTAAATCGCAGGACATTAGCTGGAGTCCGTCGTGCGATTCTTTTGCCGACCTCTGAATAGATAGGAAAAGGCCCTTCGAAACACATGGTTGAGCAAGAATTCCATTCATTCTATCCGGGATCTCTACAAACCACGTACGTTTCTCCCGGATAGATAGAATAGAGATCCCGGAACAACTGCAACGGTTGGGGGCAACAACCTACACCGGCCTCCATCCAGTCTCGCCGTGCACCCGCCGCTTCGGCCGTCGACCGTCATGGCTTGGCTTCGGTCGTTGGACACCGGGACATCGGGAGAGACGGGAGACCAACGCAGCACGGAAAATCTGGAGTAGAGAGTAGATAGAGTAGTCACTTCGGGGGTCCTACATTGGAGTCGATCATCCCGGAGTGAGTAGATGGAACGTAGGAAAATCCGAGCACTATCAGGACACTGTTCATATGTTATTATGTTGGTCACTTTTCGTCACATTCTATTTACTCCAGGATGGTTGTAGAACACATATATATATATATACATGCATATTTATTGCCTTGCTCCTTTAAGAGTTCCCTTGCTTGGGTGCTATTTGTGGGCGCCCCGCACCAGCGGCAGCTTTGGCCTCTAATCTGGCAGATCTCTACTTTCAAGAGAGACATACTTCAGCAGGATTTTGTCCAGAGGATTAGTGATGAATTATAGAAACTAGTGAACATGCTCACACAGGTGTGGGTGTTTGTCTTTGAGGCTTTGGGTCTCCAACAACAATGAGATCGAGCGACTGGAGCGTTTTTGCGTGTGAAGCTCAGTGATCTCAACACGAGGCAGTGAGCATGGGGGGTTAGCAGTTCAACCGCAGCCTTGTGTCTATGCTTGTGAGTCTATCTGCACTGGAAGAACAATTTGGCATTTTTGAGGTTTGCCAACTTGCTGCTTGATCTGCTTGTTCTTGTTCCCTTTTCTATTTAGGTGGCCTATGAGTATGTGCAGTTCAAGAACAAGCTCGAGAACAAGAACCAGCAGTTGGAAGAAATGGAGGACCTGCAAAGATGCTGCTAACCATACCCTGTTTCTACTTCAAGCACCTTCTTGTGTGATTTGTCACACAGTGGAGACAAGAGTACGTACGTCATAATGCCGCATGCCCCGAAGAAACCTTGATCAAAAAAGACGCCTATATAAGTAAAACGAGTAAATCAAAAGGTGTACCAGACCAGGCGGCATGGCAGGTGGTTCCAGACTCTACCAGACCAGCAGGAATGCCACATGCGAAATTACAGCCACCCCCAAAAGAATGGCCCGTGGTTCAAAACTGTACCAGACCAGATGGAATGGTACACAGTTCCAAAACTGCACCGGACCAGTAGGAATGGTACATGGTTCAAAATTACAAGTACGTGTATAGGCATCCCCATACACCTCCCGCCAGACTGCATAGATTCATTGGGTACGGTTTGCAGTCTAGCGCGGTACCCCCTGCAAATTACAAAAAACACAAAGTGAAAAGGCTGGCTGCCTATGATTCCAAGGGTTGCACGCACACAAATGCCAGATGTCAAGACTTCGATCTGCGATCGCAGGAGAGTTTGGCCCAGATCGCCCAGAGCACAAAAGATCTCACCAGCCGTGATGCTGCCATCCAGAAGGAGATGAAACAACGCACCGCCTCGCGTGACAAGGCCCGGTTGGTCCGGTTTTTCGAGAACGGGTTGGCCTAGGGTGGCATGGCAGGAGACCAGTTGTGCGGTGGTGTGGTGGAAGAGCTGAGGCCAGATCTCAGGAGTTGAAGAGGCTCGAGGATGAGCACAACAAGCTCTCCAAGGAGCGATGAGATCAAACATCAGGGCGGTCAGGGTACACTTTGGGCCAAGAGATTTCTTGAAGAAAGGAGCTGGTGCCTATCCCATCTCCGGTGACACCTGAGCATATTAATCCCTCCAATCAGGGAGGACTGGATTACGGTTTGTTGAGTTTTCAATATCTCTAGATGATTCTGGATGTAGTTAGATATGTAGTTCAAAAACACCAAGACACCCTTTGTCAGAAGAATCAACACAGACTTTCCACTTTGTCCGACCGAAGACCCACCGACTCTTGCCTCGGCGCCGACTCTAGCCCGACGGACGACCACCTGGAATCATAGGACATCGCATCCATGGAATCGAAGCTGAAGAACAAGCAGGCCGAGTTGGACTCTGAAAAGGAGCAGCAGAAGAAGTCCACGTCGGGCCACTGGGCAGAACGGAACCCGGGCAGGTGCGGGGTCCGGTGCTGCTGGTTCTGGGGTCCCATGGGTCGAAGGTGTGCTGCAGCGATCTGCTGCGTGGGGCAGCTGAAGATCAATACATTGGTGATCATTGGTGCGTGTCTGAAGTCTATCTTGATGGCAGATGGCACATGCTTCCCTGAAAATAGAGCTAACATGCAAGTTGGACAGGCTTCTGGCAGCACTGGCTCTGACACTATCGGATAGGCATTTGGACATGAAAACGAGGGCGACTGCTGGGAGATGGACATGGTGTGTATTTCAGAAAAGGAAGAACACCTCAGCTACATGTCATTCTATTCAGTTACAGACTCCCCTCATACTAAGGCATGGGTGACCTGAGGAAGCAGCTCCAACAGAAGGAGACGGTTTACGAAAAAGAGAAAGGCCAGCTATGGTTGCCGCCCAGGTGGTTTACACCAGGCCAAGCTGCCAATAGCAAACACTCTGGTAGGGTTGACATGCCTATTCTGGTCTTGTTTACTGTACTTTAAGATCTCTGACATAAGGACCTCAACTAGGTGTTTGGCATTTTGACTCAATACTTAATTTTCGGTTGGAATGAAACGGGAGGATGTTGAGGACTGGCTCTGATCCCAGTGATGCCTTGCCTGTCAGGGAAGTTTGACAAGCTGACGCAGGAGGAAACTGCTACCAATCAGGAGCCGACACATACAGTTTTAAAGCAACAAACATCAGCTTATCATTATTATTGTTGCGTTGCAGCTGCCTTAATGAATCATTGCGTTGGTAGAGACCTGACACATGTTTGTGTGAAGGTGGTGAGATCCCCAACCAAGGCTTTTTTTGTGGGCGGGTGTGTGTTTGTTTGTCTGTATGTCTGTCAAGTAATTGAAGCACAGTCATGTAATGCATGTGACTATATTACTATATATATACATATATTTCTGTCCGTGTGCACACGTGTGTGTCCCCTTTGGAAGTTTTGTTGACCTGGAAAAGGCGCTCCTCAAATGGATGCGCGCACGTGCTCCAATACATGTTCAACAGAGGATTATTTTTCCTGGGCACCTCCCGGATGCACATTCTAAATACTCGGATATGACACGAGGGCCAGGGGCTTTCTCCAGCTGCCAAGGAGATTGAAAAGGCACAGTACTCCATGCAAGCGCTCACCGCAGGCATGACGACGCTCCCTTCAGGGATTCGGAGGGCGAAGGGATCGCCAAGGAGTAGCTCAAGGGTTGGTTGGACGTGATGAAATGGATGGAAGCATGGGGTAGCCTTGCTGTCTACAAGTAGAGTTGAGGCCTTGTAAGCCATGTCATGCCATATCCGACTCAATGGATTGCTCCCCATGGCGGCATAGTGCCAGGCATGGCCGAGGCACCGACGGCCGAGGGCGAGCAGTGCTCCTTGCGAGAGCAGCTGCTCCGCACGCAAACCAGGCTGCAGGAGATGCAGGCTGCGAGACGCATGTTCTTTTTCAGGATCAAAGGAAGGGAGTTCTCACCACCCATATATTTGCGTGAGGATGGACATAGGGACTACCTCTTTGGTGACTCACTGCAAGTCCCATGTACTTCTGGTGAAAAACGATTTGGCACCTCCCCATAGAAATCAGTACAAAAAGCAGAGCTACGTATTTGGAAACATCTCGGGAGGCCGAAGAGAAGACCAAGAGCATGGCCATTGCCAACTTGCAGGTGGGAGACAGCTGTTTGGTCCAATGGCTTCATAGATGGCTGGCTTTGATGGCTCGCTTTTGCTCTGGGACATGTGATAGGCGTTGTTCCATCCCATCAGAGATACTCTCAGATTTGGATCGATGTGCTGCGATGTGAAACCCGTCGCCATGGCCCACTTGGCTGGACTGTACCAGACAGTAAGTCCCTTTTGGTAGAGGGTTGATGGCAAGAAGCATGCGCTCGTGGCTGTGTCAGGAGCGCATTGCTTCGGCGGAGCAAGTGGTTGGTCGGAGCAAGCAGGAGGACAAGCGGCTGAGCAAAGAGAAAGCTGCCATCGAAGCGATGCTGAAGGAGACTGGGCCAATGGCTTGCCAGCTGAGGGATGGGCAGAAAAGACCACTAGTGAGTTGCCGTTTGAAGGGCCCAGTGCCATGGCTTGGGCAGTCTCACATATGCAGGGAACCTAGATGAACTAGATGAACAACCAAAATAAGTTCAACGAGCTGAGAGAAATTCTTCCTAAAGATTCATGCCACCTTTGCAGGAGCAGCGCACCAAGCTTCAGAAGGCGGGCTTCGACCCAGAGGTCTTCAACCAGACCCAGCACAATCTGCGCCATGCAGAGGCCCAGCCTACTGAGCCAGAAGCGACGTGAACGGACTGAGAAGTGAGGCTGCAGGTGTTGCAGCTCTTGCACCTCCCAACCCTGGACTCTGGACTCATACAAGGTGAAAGGTGTTTTCTTCCTGGGCTTTGTCTCACCAAAAGAAAACGAAATTGCTCCAAAGATTTACATATGAACCGAGAAGCAGATGAACCCCTCGTGGTTGGCAGCACGTCGTGGCATCCGTTGGCGCGTTTGCTTGGGAGTTCGGCGCCGTAGCAGTTCCCCGTGCCCTGCATGGCAGGCCTCCTGGCGCTCCTTGCAGGATAAGTTGGACTCCCTGCGCGCTCACCTTGGTGGTCTTGACTTTAACTATAGCGATCCTTATAGGCAAGTCGCCGACGCGGATGTAAGCTGGGAAGGTTGAGAATGCGATCATCGTCATCCACTCGTGGGCAGAAAACACCTCTTGAGTCCTTTTGAGAATTCGTGAGGTCTTAGACTGTTCTTCCAGGTCTTAGATTCTGAGATCTATGACAGATTGTCAGATTGTGTCCTTCTTTCCTCATCACATGAGATTTCTCGCAAGGTTCCAGGCTGTTCCACCGCGCAGCAGGAACTTTGACCGCTCCACCGTGAAGGGTGTGGTGGCGAAGCTGTTTCACATCAAGCCCGACTTCGTGCAGCCCTCAGTGGGGCAAACGATGGATGGGTGGCCCGATTCTTTTTTGCATGTTCTTTTTCTCTTCCGGTGTGCCAACGAGCAGCGGTGCCATCGAACGCACCAACAAGAAAGGACGCTTCTGGTTTCACTGCTTTGGCAGGACACGTGATTTTGGAGCTTGTGGACCAGTCGATCCTATCCCCCCAAGAAATAATGTGATCATGGCAGTCAGCATATGTTTGAGAACAATGATCCACTGAGTTTAGGGACCCAAATAGATAGAACAGTGAGTTCCTCTCAAGAATGTATACAGTTTGAAAGAACACATACTCGTTTCTATCCACCAAACAGACCTAGACACTATATGGGTTACAGAAGGACCGTACCACCCCGACCAGTGACCGTACCACTGAGGCGGCCTACCACCGCGCTTTGGAGGTCTGCGCCGGTGGACGGCTCTTCTTCGTGATCGTGGACAACGAGGAGACCGGGAAAGCGCTGCTGGAGAAGGGACAGCTGAGGCGAGGACAGACCACGGTCAGTTTTTCCTGGCTGGTCGCTGATTCATTCAACACATGCATTGTTTGAGATTCTTTCGTTTTTTTTGGCGCTTGTTTTTTCCACAGGCGGCGAGTGACCATCATTCCCTTGAACAAGATCCAGGACGGCCTCCACGTCGGATTGATGTCTCTCTTCTCCGGCCAAAAAGCTTCGACGTGTCGTGCTTCCACTTACAGATGCAGAGCTACTTGAAAAACTTCATCCAAACCCTGTTTCTTCAAGCTGTCTCAGTCTCCTTGCGGCCCGAAGCGGATCCGTTTCTCGCATCTCCGGCCCTTACACCGCCGCCCGTGCGGGACGACGCGCAGCGTCGTCCGCATGTCGTTTCGACGCTAGGACAACAGCATCGCACCGCAAGTGGTCCGGCAAGCGCGTCAGATCATCCCCAAGAAGGCCGAGGCGCATGTGGCCATGGAGATCGTCGGCTTCGAGAAGCAGGCAGAAGAAGGAAATGGGTCGAAGAGGGACGCAGAAGTCGTGGAACTTCTGAAGAAAGAGAACAGGGTTAAAGCAGATGGGGGAATGGCATGTGCATTTTCCGTGTGGTATGCAATGAAACATGCGATTGGACAAATGTCACCGTCGGGGCGGTGTCCTACAACTAGAATCTCATCATCAGGGGGCTTGAGAGAAGGCTTGGGAGGATGGTAAAGCCAACGCATCACCTGACCCGAGTAGAATGAGATTGGAGGAGCTAGCAGCTAGCAGCTAGATGAACAACAAGTCCCAGTGCATTGTTTTCGCTTCCGTTTGTCCCAAAAGAAACCGATCCATGACCCATTTCGCTCCCGGTGGTTTTGGGAAGCGACTAAGGAACCGGCACCGGTTGTGCCTCGCCTCGTGGCCTCGCCTTGTGGAGCGACCCTGTCAGGTGATGAATGCGATGAAGTTTGTGTTCGGTCCCTACATGGTCTGCGACACGCCCGAGACGGCCAAGCAGATCACCTTCCACCCCAACGTGCGGGTCAAGACCGTGACCAAGGAAAGGGACAGCATCGCTCACCATGCTGGTGCTTGCTGGTTCACGCTCATCGCTATTTTTTTGGTTCTCTCCCAGTGAAGCTTGTTATGACATCCTCATTAGCAGCGCAAGTCATTTCGATGGGGTGTGAGGCCCATACTTGATAGCCAGGTCACCTAAATTGACCTCAATACCACTTGATGTCCCCGAAACTCATCAAAGAAAACAGTATACAATCTGAACATATTTGTTGGAACACCAAAACCCGGAAACAACACTTTTCTGTTTAGACTTTAGACGGGAAGCACCGAGTCCCTTTGGCAAGACATGGCAATACCCCAAACCATGATGGTCTGTTTCACTTCCACCTGATGGTCTGCAGCTTTTGGGCGTTGGATTTCTGGGAGGAACATGGCCATTGCATGGGCACATGGGCATCGTCATTGCAGACCTGGGCATAGTCATTGCATGGCCATTGCTGGCAACATTCTTCCAGACCCGATCCGCAGGAGGGTGACTTGTACGACCCGGCGGGCACCATCACCGGTGGCTCCGCGCCGAAGGGTGGCAACCTGCTGATGAAGCTTCAAGAGTTGCTCGGGGCCCAGGAGGAAAAACTGCTGGCAAAATCTTGACAAGGCTTCAACTGGAACTGTGTATTTGTTGGGACATGCTGGAGGCTGCATGACCTTCTAGGCTGTCCCTTTATGTTGGGTTCCATTTAAGAGTTGCATCACAACACGTTTCTCAGATTTCCTGCTTGGTGAGTTTGATGTTCGCCCCCTTTTTGAGACCAAACTAGATTGATCTTTTAAGGGACTGCACGCTTCTGGGGATTTGACTCACATCAAATGGGAGATGCGCGGATTACTGGGTGGACGGTTGGATTTTTCTTAACATGACTTTTTTTGAAGTATTTGTTGATGTACTCATGTTGGATCTAATGAGGAGTTCAAATCTGGATCTGAACCGATTCAGTATACTAGGCGTGACACTAAATGTCAATATGAGCGCCTTCGGTTCACAGCAGAAAAGACGAGTTTTGAGAGACACATTATTTTGCGGATTTGATGTAAGAACCCTTAGTATTGAGGTTTTCCTACTTCACAGACTCCCGTGCACAGATTGTCAGAGCGATTGCTTGTACTTCAGTTGAGTCAAAAACTTTCAGGTCCAATCTGGAGAAGCAAGTCCATACGCAGCGATGCGAGTATGACAAGGCCTTACCTAACTTGGGCTTGGCTTTGGTGTTGATTCGTGAATGATTTGGTGTTTATTCGCTGATGGTCTAGTCTAAACATCCAATGGGTCGAACAACGGCAATGGGTCGAACAGGGAGGCGGATGTTTTCTCGTTGTTGCGGTTCGCATCGTGTTCTCGCAACCGGCACGAGGGGAGACGGGTGGGTAGACCTCGGGGTTAGACCGAGGGGAAGCCCACATGTTTGGGATGGACACAGCGAGCGCTCTACGCTCCTACCCATATTTCCCATGTCTTGGTTCCTTCAGCTCGAAAGCCCCCGTTTTGACGCCCTGCGCTGCGGCGCCATGCGATCCGAGTTGCGCGAGGCGAATGCGCAGCTGCAGAAGATGCAGTCCACGGCTTCGCAGTTCTCCAGTTTGGAGAGAGAATTGAAGTGCAAGGAGCATGAGCCTCCCGGCCACGAGCGTCGAACGAAGTGGTCAACGTGGCAGCGTCTAGACGTGATGAGCGTGCAACGACTTGCACCCAGAAAGTGAGGAGAGAGGGAGAGATGGACTCACCTGGATGTGAGTGCTGAGGAGTATATAGGTTCTTAAACACCGATTTGCGGATTCCTAGTCGCCGCTCCTGAGGCTGGCCTTGATTGAGGATCGAATTAATCGCAGTGAGCATCATACTGCCGAGCAGAGCATCCAGGCCAGGCAAAGCAGTATTCAGTGATGTTACATAACACCTCAGGGAGATTTATTAGTACTTGTTTTCTCTGTGATTGGCCTGAACTTGAACTTGGATGCTCGTTTTCGCAAGGACATGCAAAGCGAAATGCAAAAGCTACAAGAGGACATCGCCAATCTTCCAGAGGACGGCTGCAACAGAATTCAACGACGCAATTGACGCCAGGGAATTTCAAACGCGCATTCGCAAGAATCCAATGCCTTTTCGCCCTGACCTTTGGTCTGAATGTCACTTGGTGACCCTTAGTACTTAGTACACCTTAGTACTGCCTGAAAGACGAAGGTGTGGCACCCATTGTTCTAGTAAAACTAGAGGCTCTTTTTGCAGAACGTGACTCAAACCAACTCCCAGAATCATTAGTTCGGTGAGTATTCCAGCTTCGGCAGGTGAATATCCAAGAATGTGTTGCAATAGGTGGTGTGGTGAAGGACCAGGACCCGGTTTTGGTGACACATGAGAACCTCCTTGAACCAAAAAAGCACTGAACTTGGAGGGGTGCTCCTGTTGTCCGTCCGGGTCCCGTCGCTTTCCGTCGCTTCGACCGTCGGGTATCGGTCGTCAGGAGAAGAAGCGCCTTGAGAAGTCCTCAAAGCAGATGGAGAAGGAGAGACAGAATCCAAATCTTTTGACGAGCGAAGTCGACGAGGCTGTTTCCTCGATCAGAAGATGTGGGATTCGGATTAGATGAAGCCCATATTCATCTAGTTGGCAAAACTGGTGAGTCTGAAAGTCAACTAGAACCTGGAGTGCCAGCAGGTCTCCCTTTTCCTATACAATAAGCAGCATATCAAAAACAGCTTGTTTGGACCAAGCTGCGCTGGACATTCTTGGACCTACAAGACTGCCAACAACTTGCGGCACCATTTCTGGGGTAGTCACACCCAAATGGCTGTTGCTTTTGCAGCAAACTGTGTCAGTTTCGCACTGAAAAACATGTCGCAATGGCTGCAGCGCATTGTGCTCATAACTCAGTTGTCATGGATAAAGCAAGTGCGAGACCTTGGAAATCGGACGTCTCTATACCTATAATTCTTTTTGTGCAATCAGTGTCTGTTTGGTCAAAGTGACATGATTCATCACCTGTTGCCTTGGTACCTGCAACTCCCTACAACTCCACCGGCTCCTTCCTGTTCCGCTCCTCTTGTGCTGCCAAGAACGCCTATGTCCGGGGCCAGGACATCAAGAGCCTGGACTCCGGCCGTGAAGATCGCCTGAAGTACTTCGAGAAGCACATCGCAGAGCTGAAGAAGTCGGTGAAACAGAATGCGGACAAGATCGAGAAGCAGCGAGAAACTGGCTGGTGGTTTGGAAGATTCTTTTCCAGTTTTCTAGTCCTATTTGAGGGGTGGGGGTTTTCACAGTATTTCTTTTGGATATGTTACGAACCCAGGAAAAGACAGAACAAGCTCAAGTGGAAGTGGAAGTCCTTCGCAACGAGCTGTTGCAGATGGAAGGCAAAGAACAGGACAAAGGGTCACGAAAAGAACTTTTTTGGTCACGAATGGCTGCACATTCAATGGTCATGGAAAAAGGTGTTCTGTCACAAAAAGATTGGTCCGTTCTGCAGGACAGTGGCCGAGGCCAAGAATCGATCGCGGCGGAGATCGAGAGCATCTCTGAGTCTTTGTTCTCGAAGAAGGCTGACGGGCTGACGGAGGTTGACGCGTGTCTTGATGGATGGCCAAGCAACCTATGCAGCCTGCCCAAACGGGCCGCAAACGAATGGACCAACCTTCCTGCGGTTTGCTGGGTCGTTTTCGGAGCTGCGTGTCTCAGGCTTTTGTGTAAAGGTTGGGGCCGAGCTTGAGGTAGGTTTCAGGATTTTTGGCCAGACACTTCACCGGAGCAGATCTGGATCCTGCGTGCAATGTGTCGCTTAAAAGGATTTAAATTTAAAAGGCCTTGGCCAACAAACCAAAACCCGGGGCACAACACATGCTCACCCTCCGAGTGAGCGTGTTGCCCATTTGCCCATGCCTGTCGCAGGCATCATATGAGGAGACCGGCAAGCAGCTGGAGAACATGAGGTGTGGAGAACATGGGTCTTTTGGAACACAATCAGACAGCCAGTCTCTGGCCGTGCCCCTGAACCCTCTTCGTGTACTGTCCGGGCCGTCCGTCTGTCCTGGTCTGCGTTCTCGGCCCGGCCACGCTGACACCCTTTCTCCACCGCCGTGTCCGGGTCTGTTTTCATGTGGCTATGAATGCGACAGTGGTGCAGCGTTGCACATTTGAGATCATCCTCCGATTTTATCATATCACATAATATCACATTATATATATATAATATATATATATATTACATATCCCTTCGTTTTTGCACATGTGACCCGGGAATCTGGAACTATTGTTTTCAAACAGTGCTATTTCCAAACAGGTAGAAGCTTTCGGAACATGATTGCAGAATAAAGCAGACGTTGCGCCACCAACATTGGAATTCAAGGAGTTGATGGAAAACAGTAATGCTGAAACTGTTTGGGGTCGATGCTGGCGTAATTTTTTAAAAGACCATTGACCGCTGGGATAGTTATAGTATATATGTTATAGTTGTATTACTTTTCTCCGCATTGCTTGGTTGAACGGACGAGCCCAGATCGGGTCCCCAGTGGTTTTCGTGTCCCGCGGGGGACTGGTCCGCCTTCTTCGCCTCAGGGAGGAGCTTCAGAATCTTGGACCACGGAGAGGGACGGTGATTTTTCGACAGCTGGAGACGGTCCGAGTGTTTTGCTTCGCTTCTCACTCGGTCGGGAAGGAATAGCGGGAGAGTGAACTGAAGGGTCCGAGTGCTGTGGATTCGGAGGGGCGGAGCTGCTGGGAGCCGCAGCGCGGTGCGGAGCGGCACGGGGCGGTGCCGCGGTGCTGCGTCGCTGCTGAGGAACCTGGATGAGACCTTGCAGAAGTTGTCCGAGGAGCTCACACAGAACAAGCAGAAGCGCGAAGAGCAGGACCATTTCTTTGGGCCATGCGATATCTTTTCATGATTGATGAGTGGAAACTAGGGGAAACGCCACCTTGGATAGGGAGATTCCTGTGAGATTCGTGAGAGGTTCCATTGTTCTGATGCTTTTGGTATTCCTTGGCCGACACACTTGTGGCCAGAGGTCTTGGCACGTTTTGCACCTCGGAGCACGAACAAGCAGAATGCAAGGCACAAGTGAGTCATGCACAAATCAGCGAAATCCAGGCATATTTCACCAAGTCCTCCACATGCTTGGCTGCTTGACTCAAAATCTTAAGAACATCATATCTCAGCTATTTTTGCTTGGCATGTGTACATACACGGGAACTTCAACTGAGCAACCTCCATCCCCGGTGCAAACTGGCTCCTTTGCTCCTGAGTTCCCACAGAGCACTCGACCGAGCCGGGCGCCGGAACGGCAGTGAGCTCCGTACGGCCGCGAGCCGAGCGGAGCGGAGGAGCTGGAGCAGAAGCGGGTGACTCACAAGATCCAGCAGCTGCAGAAGGCCCGTGGGTCCACCGACCCGGTGGTGGGCCGACCGGGGGAACGGCCGAAGAAGAAGAGGTGGGCAGCGAAAAGACGTCTTTCTGGTGGAACCGCCCCCCCGCTACAGCGACCAGTTTACTTGCGCAACTAGAGTCTACTTAGTCTACTTTATGGTTTGGGTGGGGCAAGGTTCCCATCTTCCTGAACAGTTTGAACTCTCCAATTGTGTCCTGAGGACGACAAGGAGTCGCATGTGGTGGTGGCACGGATGGAGAAAGAGCACCCTTGGATTCAGAAGGAACAGGCACGATCTGACGGTTTGAGACATGTGATCACTGATATGTTCTGGTGCGATGTGGATTCTACACAGGAAGACGTGCGCGCTTGGCCAACAACTCTTGGATGACATGGTATGACCAAGTTCACATTGCCTTTCTCCCTCCATACTTTGCTGGCCGCGTTGCGTTTCTGTTGCCAGGCCCTTTTCGGAAAGAAGGGCACGGACTTCGACTTCCAAGGCAGCCGCTACCAGGACAACAAGCAGCGCCTGGAGAAGTTGAACACCGAACAGAAGAAGCTCAGCAAGAACATCAACAAGAAGGCCATTGGTTCGTGCACCGTCTTTTTTTGCACCGAGGGAGACGTCTCTTTCTACAGGAGTCGCATTAAAATGAGCCTACCTGAACGAATGGAGAGAGAGAGAGAGAGAGGAGGCAACGATAAACACGCGACCTATCTGATCAAGTGGCCACAATAAAGAGGACTGGATGCCTTTCAAGACAAGGGGTTATCAAGTTGTGGAATCCCACGGAATCTCTCTTAAGCCAGCCCGACCTGTTCAGCCGACGTTTCCAAGCTGCTCACAATTCACAATTGTTTCGCTTCAACGACAGGCCATGGTGATGTTTGAGAGAGCAGAGCAGGAGTACAAGGAGACGCGAGCAGAGAGACACGCTGCCAGTTCTGTTCCCTGCGACTCGCTGGTCCAAGCCCAATGTGCATTCCTCGTAATCCGTGTTCTCTTCATTTTGAGGTCAACCAGCTGCTTGGCCTTCCTGGCACTTAGCGCGTCTCGGAAGTCATCTCGCGCTCTGCAGGAGCTTCTCTCCAAGCGAGATATCATTTTGAATGACAAAGGCAAGATCGAGAAGGTCATCAAGGTGGGACCATGGGAGGAATGAAACGGGTGAGGTCATAGCTTTATTTGCTTCGTCGAAGATGACGCAGCTGCCCAGTGGCATCAATCTTAGGTCCGTCTTGGGTGTTCAGTAGGGTTTGTGCCATCTACTTTTGAAACCTTTTGAACCACTATGTCTAGTCATAGTGTCTCTAGCACATGAAGCTGTTATGATTCAGAAGACGCGCCATTCAAACTATGTATTCTCCAGAAAAGGATTCTGTCGATCAAAATCAAGTTATGATCCAATACCGCGTGACTGCATGCAGTTCAATAATTCGCAGTTTTTCCTCCAGTAGCTTGACAGACCAATGCAGGCCTTGCACGTTTGCAGCCAAAAGGGCGACTTCGGGTCAAAACGAGACCCGACACACCAAGCAGGGAGAAAACATGGGAACACATCTCTCCGCTTTTTGGACCAAGCGCTTGGACACAAGTCCTTGCTGCAAGGACTTGGACGAGAAGAAGACCGAGACGCTGCGCCGCACCTGGAAGAAGGTCAACAAGGCAGACCTGCGTTGCGCCGCAGAGACGTGCAGCGTTCGGATTGGTGGATTCAGTCGTCCGTCCTGTGCCCTCCGACCCATCGGATTGTTCGTTGCGAGAAGGGGCGACCGAAGGATTTTCGGTCGTCCTTTTTTTCTGGGGAGAGAAAAAGCGGAAGATCTGTTTGACTTCAAGGCATTTTTCTGCCCTTGTGTAGCTGTCCGCAGTTTTGCTAGGCTTCCATTCTTTTGCAAGCATCCTTTCCCTCCACCAGTTGTTCTAAATCCTCCATACTCAACAGAACTTGGTGCATCCACCTTTCACCCGTTGTCAAACAGCCTCCACAAAAGCCTCGCTCGTCGCTTCTCCGCTGCGAACCGTTGAACGAACTGTGGTAGGACTTCGACTCCATCTTTGGGACCTTGCTGCCGAACACCAACGCCAAGCTGGAGCCTCCGCAAGGCATGGATGAGACGGAAGGCTTGGAGATCAAGGCCAGGAACCGGTGAGGTTGGTTTTGTGCAACGGGTGAGTGAGACATTTGGGGAGTAGTATCATTTATACAAGTCTTCTTTTCTTTTGCTCACTTTACATGGATTCATGTGGTCGTGATTCACGTCGATGCCAGACTTACATGATTTTATATGGCAACATGTCGAACTGAGGCAGCTGATTCTGGCAGAGGTTGAAGCATACCTGGCCTTCTACTACTCTTTTTGGTTGATTTGTTGAGGGGGCTCCGACCCCCCCGGGTTCGGTCGGTCCTGAAGGTACCTGCCATCGACCTGCCGACCCGGTCGGAGGTCGCTTTCCATGGTGTTTGGAAGCAATCCCTGACAGAGCTCAGCGGCGGACAGCGCTCTCTTCTGGCACTCTCCCTGGTCTTGGCACTGCTTCTTTTCAAACCAGCTCCAATGCTTCTTGCCTCAGAAGAGATATATAGTTCTATTATATAGCCCTAGCCAGAAAGATTCCTGGAAGTGGCCAGATGGCAAGTACTTGAACTTACTTTTTCAGGCACTTGACGTCATCTCGTCGTTCGTTTCAGGTACATCTTGGATGAGATCGACTCAGCCTTGGACCTGAGCCATACCCAGAACATTGGCCACATGATCCGGACGCATTTTCCCCATTCGCAGTTCATCGTGGTCTCCTTGAAGGAAGGGATGTTCAACCACGCCAACGTGCTCTTCCGCACGCGCTTCATTGATGGAACCTCCACAGTGACGAGGTATGCCATCCGCGATGATGATGATCGAGTGGCAATGCCACCACAAAAGAAGGCCCGAAAAGAGGCGGCCAAGTGATTTGCAATGTGGCCACCAGGCTCCGGGAAGTCATGAGTTCCCAAAGCCAGGAGACGCCAACGGTGGCAGCTGGTTGTTTCATTTAATTCAGTGTGTGCAGTCTTTGCAGCTGGCTGCTGCGATGAGGGGTTGCCCAGAATGTCCTGCACGATCGAGCATACTAGGCATTCTGCTACAGAAAAGGCTTGAGATGTTGTCACATCATGTCGGCGTGCACAGACACTCATCGGAAGCCAAGAAAGCTGAATACCGAAGAAGACCATCTGTTTACTTGCAACAGGGTGATGTTTTCCGCAAAAAGCAGGAGGACCTGCTTGGATGACCATCTCCTTATCTCCGCTTTCTAGTTTGGACCTCCATTGCTTTGTTCCGTTCATCGTGTCCGGGGTAAACCTCGCTTCAACCTCGCGGGTTTCAAACGAACTGCGACACGGGTTCAGTTCTCCGGTGGTACTGCACCGGTCAGGTGCAAGGCCACCTGGCGGTGGGACGAGGGCTCACCACAGCGCTCTGCTCGGAGCCAGTGATCGACGTGACTTGGAATGCTCGATGCGACGACGACGCGACGGGCATTGGGACGGGCCCTGGAAAGCATGGTTGCAGCGTGGCGCTGGCTAGCCCACCACACCCTTGGCTTCTCAGCGGGTTGCAGCGGGTTCTAGCAGGTTGCAGACTATGCCAGGTCCTCTCTAACCACTCTCATCCTTGTGTTTGATATCTTCACGAAGCGCAAGACAGCTTCACAGACGGAGAGCGGAAGGGGTGGGGGTTCCGCGCAAGAGCCATTCTGCGGTGCACATATTTTTCTACAAAGATCCACACGTGTTCTAGGACCCTAGGATTCAGTATTTTGAGCGTTCTCATCCAATCAAGTCTGCAAAAAAATATATATATATATATTGCAGAGCAAGATGTGTCAATGGCCAAAGTCTCAACTTTATAGGCTTCGATCGTGCTTCGTTTCTCCGGCCTTTCTAAGTATCATTCCTTTTTTTGCTGCCGGTTGGGTTGTGGTGATGGGGTGGAGTTATATCGTGGTGGTTAGGTGTTGGAAGGTACATCGACATCGTCGCTTTCGCCGTTTCCAGGTGGAGGCAGTGGAGAACCTTTGCAATGCTTCCCTGCAGGAGATCGACGCGACGCGATCGGAGAGTTGACCGGGAGGTGTCGCCCACGAGTCGACCGGGAACGGCTGGGGTGACGTTGGTCAATGTCTGTGGTGGCATAGACCGAAATCTCTGGTCCGTGTGGGACGCCCAAAGACACATAACCTTATTTCTGATGTATATACAACTAGACGACGAGTGGCCCGAAAGCATTTTTCATCACGTAGGAAGTCAGAGTGCGAGTTATCTGTTAAGTGTGCAGTGTGAAGTGTTAAGTCGAGTGAGTTGAGGTAGAGTGTGGGTTTCTGTGTGTGTATCTATGTCCGTGTGTATATGAGTCTGCGTATGTGTGTGTGTTCGTGTAAGTTGAGGCAGTGCGTGGGTGTCTGTGTGTGATGCGGCCTCCCAAACCCCCCACCGGCGGCCAAGCGGTGACAGCCCAGCTCATCGTCATGAGCATTTGAGCTGCTGGTCAGGGGAGAAGCAGCGTGCACGGCGCCAGGAAAAGTTCAGGGAAAAAAACGAGCCGGAATGAAGACAGAAAAGTGCCGAGGCAGGTACGCAACAAGTGTGTCAAAGCAGTGACCTGTCAGAGGAGATGCGTCCAGCGATGTACGATCAGAGGTAACGTTTCCTTCACTCCAGGACACTAGCTTTTCCAGGATGTAGTCAACCAACCACTATGCTTGTCATTGACTAAATGACTGTGTCCAAGAAAAACGTGACAAAGTAGCATGAGGTGACACACAGCAGGCACTGTAGATGTTTAGCGTACTCTCGCTGTTCAGCTCGCGACCAGTATTAGAGTGAACGAAGTAGCGCGCAGGCCTCCCAAACCCCCCACCGGCGGCCAAGCGGTGACAGCCCAGCTCATCGTCATGAGCATTTGAGCTGCTGGTAAGGGGAGAAGCAGAGTGCACGGCTGCAGGGAATCTCACTGAAAAAACCGAGCTGGAATGAACACAGAAAATGCTGAGGCAGCCACGCCAGAAGCGTCTCGAAGCAGTGACCTGTCAGAGGAGATGCGTCCATCGATAAATATCTTCCGGGCAAAAACGTTTACTTCACTCCAGGACACAGCTTTTCTAGGATTAGTCAACCAACCACTATGCTTGTCATTGACTAATTGACTGTCTCAAAGAAAAACGCGACAAACGCGACAAAGTAGCGTGAGGTGACACACAGCAGGCACTGTAGATGTTTTAGCGTACTCTGCTGTTCAGCTCGCGACTAGTCTTTGTACACAGAAAAGATAGTGTTGTGCTTCCGCAGAACGACGTCCACACAGGATTTGTCAGGAAGAAGTCACGGTGTGAGACATGCAGTTGGTTATCATGTGAACATCGTATTATTTTTTCATCTCCATTCAGGGTATTTGCCTGGTCTGGGTCTAGCAAGTCTAGCGCGCCGACCCGAAGCAGATCTGGATGGCGTAGGCATCTGCGCAGTTGCGGCTGTTGTTCCTCACCCAGTCTTCCCATCCACTGGACCACCTGATCACTCGCCAAAACTGCCAGGTTTCTCCATGGGCAGCCCAGTGTCTGGTTTCTGTGGACTGGTTTGGCCATCTTTCATGGATGAGCTCTGGCTGGTTGTCATGGTATGTCCTGCTTCCATAGGACCAACAGAGGCACACCTGTCTCTGGTCATCATGGGTGACGCTGAAGAAGTGGTCGTCAACAATGCCAAGGTTCCCTGGCATGATGGCTGGGCAAAGAGGGGGACCTACGAGCTAGTGGGCTGCAAATTGGTAAATAGCACATGCGTAGCCATAAGAAGGCTCTGTTTGCCTTGTAAAGGTTTATGTGGGAAATGAATATTGCAAAAGCTTGTGGGGTGCGTTCAAACTTCTTGCAAGTATATTCTTCATTGCTGTTGAGTTGATATTTTGGTAGTTGGCCCAAGTTGTATGGAGACTTCTGCAATGTCACTGTGAGCACCGAAAGGTCAGCCACGGAAAATGCACAGTCTGTTGGCGCAGGCGCTCTGAGGGTGACATGCGGATGTAGTTAAGAACCACTATGCTGCTCATTTTCTAATCGCCTCTCCTACAGAAAAATGCAACAAAGTAGCGCGAGGTGACGCACAGCAGGCACTGCGCATGTTTTAGTGCACTCTGGCCGTTCAGCTCGCGACTAGCCCTTGTATATGGAAGAGACTCCCCGACATTATGTCTAGTACTTGTTGTGCTTCCGCAAAACGACGTCCACACAGGATTTGCGAGGAAGAACTCATGGTATGAGACATGCGGTTGGTTACCAGGTGAACATCTAGATGACACCCTGCGTCGGGGAGACTCTCACTGCATTGTGCTCTCCGGAGACACGGCGGCGACCATCTGGGCCAACTGGGCGGCGTCGAGGGTGCCATCTGTTGACGCGTCCGCCAGTGGGATGCGGAGCGGTGGGTCCGCTTGAACAAACCTGCCAGTCTGGTCGTGGTAGCCGCTGAGTTCGACGCAATCGGGCGGTGTGGTATTCGCGGCGCGGGCCGCTTCCCATGACCGCCCAAGACGCTGGCATGGTCGACAGACAAGGTGATCGGCGTCGCACAGGGTGCAAACGGCGTTGAACGGCCGCAGCGAACAAGCCTCGCACCAGGAATGCGTCCACTGCCCGCAAAGTTCGCATGGTTGGGCTCCGAGGTCTCGTCCAGGTAAGTTTTCAGCCGCAGTGACCAGCGCAAACGCCGCCCTCTTGGGAAAAGATCGCTGGCGCTCCTCGCGTGGCACTCTGCGATGGTCCTCGCGCGGATGTAGGCGCAACCAAACCTTCGCTTCCGCGACCCACGCTTCCCAAGCCACTGGGCGCAGGGCAGTCATGGCACGGCGGCGTGGTGAGAGGAATGACGACGAGGTGTGCTTACAAGTGACTGGCTGCGAAGCACCGGAACCCAGTTTCCAAGTATCGCTGACACAGTGTACAATCGTGTGCCCTGTGGTATTCGTCTTCGGCCCTCGCCCGTCCTCCCCTTCGTAGAAGAGTACACCTGGCGAGAAAAACAAGAGGGTTGGCGAGAAACCTCTCAGATGTCTCTTGTGCTAGGCTGTTTACTGAATGTAAAGGCTGAAGCTCAGTGTGGCACCGCGCCGATTAAGGCGCCAAGTCTCACTGACAGTGTACAAGCGTGGGTACTGAGGTATTCGTCTTCGTCTTCTGCCCTCGCCCGTCCTCGCCTCCTGGTAGAAGAGTATACCTGGCCAGAAAAACAAGAGCTTTGGGGAGACACCAATAAGATGTCTCTTATGCTAAGCTGTTTGCTGAGATTAGAGGCTGAAGCTCACTGTGGCGCCGCGCCTATTTTTGTTTGCCTGGGCCATCTAGTCCGCGCGGCGACACTTCTGCAGAACGGCGTTCATGCCGTCGCGGTGATACACTTTCGCAGAACGGCGTCCATGTCCCGAGCCTCTCAGAGACCAAAAGCCGCGTGAGCATGCTTGGACAGCAAAGTCTCCCAATGCTTCAGTGCCCATAGAATATAATCTCGATTTTTCCATGGGCGCAAGGAAGGTCGGCGCCGCAAAATCTGTTCAATGGCTTCCTGCGCCTGGAAACCTTCCCTGGCCATCAACATCGCGGTCAGTGCCGTGGGGCTGCGATGTATGCCACCGAAACAATGGAAGAGCGCAACTTGTTTCTGCCCCAGCATGGCACGCCTGGCATTCAAAGTGCGTGCGATCTCTGACCATACCCGACAGTTCCTCTGGGCCTGCTCCGCGTACAGCGTCGGATCTTGGGTGACTTTGACCGTCAAATCGTCCAGAGCGTACACACATTGTTGGGCACTGTGCAGGCGTAAATATGAATCCCAGCTCTCTGGTGTCCCTTTGGCCTGCAAGCCCTTGGCACAGAGCGTCGCGAGCGTGTTCACTTGGACGCCGCAGCTATGTGCCACGTCGGCCAAGTTCGCCGCGGATTTCAGACTGTCCAGGACATACACCATATCGTCGACTCATAGACGATGGTCGCGTCCAAGGTCCACGCACGGAGATCTCCCAAATTGTAAGAACGGTTCCAAATGACATAATCCAGATGCCTCCATGGCCCATGGTTGAAGTACGTCTGAATGAGATCCTTCATATTGTCGATCCACTCTTGCGCACAAAGTTCCACAGGCAATTGTGGCAGGGATGGCTGCAGGTGATTCATACCAGGGCAATCTGTCCGAAGCCTAGATGTTATGAATACTGGAGCCAAAAAGCTATAACCCTGACAGAAATGGTTAGTTGTTGTTGAAATGGTCAAGAACCAGAAACTAGTGCCAAAAGAAGCTTGCGTGCTATCATAGATCTAAAGCCGAGCTTTTCTCTCTGGGATCCCGTGCCTCGCTGACGCGTTGTGTTCACCCCAGTACCGAACTTCTTCAGAAGCACGTCCATGCCTTGAGAGACAATAGCATCAGATCTGGACCAACACGCAAAGCAAACTCTAAGACAGAAGCAGAGTACTCCTCCTGACTATAATGAAAGGAAACTGTCATGGTACCCAAGAGACACAAGAGCGTCTGTCGTGGTATCTTCGCGCAGCATGTGCGTATGGACAAATGGCGGCTGTGCAGACGCTGCTTCTCGCTAGGGCAGATCCCAGTGAGGCCTCTCGACACCGCCAGGAAGCGAAAGGCAGCCGCGGTCCTTTGCACGAAGCCGCTTCTGGAGCTCCTACTGGAACACAAGACCGATGCCAACATAAAGGGTGTTTACAAGGGTCAATGGAGGACTCCGTTGCAGATCGCAATTGAAAAGCGCCATGTTGATCTGGTCAAGCTCCTGCAGATGCCTCCACATGCTGGGCCAAGAGCCACTTCAGTTGTTGTTGAAATGGTCAAGAACAAGAAACTAGTGTCAAAAGAAGCCTTCATGCTATCATGGATCTAAAGCCGAGCTTTTCCCTCTGGGATCCCGCACCTATAATCCCTCTGTACAGACTCAATCGCACTCTCGCCTGCATTTCGCGCGCTCGACGCGCACGATCTCCGCAGAGGGTTGCGCGCGTACACACCCCATCGCGCTCTCGCCTGCATTTCGCGCACGCGACACGCGCGATCTCCGCAGAGGGTTGCGCGCGCAGCCGGCAAATCGCACTCTCGCCTGCGTTTCGCGCGCTCGACACGCACGATCTCCGCAGAGGGTTGCGCGCGGACCCGGCGCATCGCACTCTCGCCTGCATTTTGCGCAATCGACGCGCACGATCTCCGCAGAGGGTTGGGCGGGCAGCCGTCAAATCGCACTCTCGCCTGCATTTCACGCACTCGACACTCACGATCTCCGCAGAGGGTTGCGTGCGCACCGACGCTGTTCGTCCCACCCTCCGCCTTTAAGAGAGAATTTATAGAGTGGGGAAATGTTTTTTTATTAGGACATCTCCCGTGGTAGTTTTCCTTACTCACACTTGCCGGATGCCTACTCATTGCATGCTTGCATACTCACTGCATGCTTGCATACTTACACTTGCATACTTCCACTTGCATACTTTGACACTTGCACTTGGGGTACGTTTAGCGTTCATGTTGTCGTGCAAGTGTGGTGAAAGTGTCAGTGTGTAAGTGTAAGTGTCGAAGTGTCAGTGTTCAAAGGATTTTCCGGAAGAACCCTTCGCAGTGCTTTCGGGAAAAACAAACAAGATGGACGTTGGGGCGTGTGAGGTCCTAACGAAAGCCACATCTCACGCCGCGAAAACGAAAGCCGAAAGCCACATCTCACGCCGCCAAAAGCGGCGTCTACGCGGCTCACTCGCTTTTGGGAGGCCAGATCACAGCCAGCTGCGATCTGGCTGCTTTCCTTTTTCCATTTATGGTTTCTTGTCCATGTCAACTCATTTCATGTCACTTTTCTTGGTCCAACTCCAAAGCTTGACAGGTTCCTTGCGAACACAACAGAACATGCACCACATTTCATCTCACCTATTGCACTTCACCTCACTGCAGTGGCTTTGCCTGAAAATCGCAGGATGCGCTCATGGTGGTGTACCTCTCCAATCTCACCCGCACGCAGATTTCCATTGCAGATCCTGGACGCAGAAATTGAGGTCTTTTCGACCAGTGCTAGCAGTGCTAGCGTGACATTTGTTGAGAGTTCTGACTTCAATTGCTCTGGGGTCAATAGGAAGTCTTTTGGTTTTTTGGAGCAAGGAAACTCCCACAAGTCACACTTTTGGGATGCATGACATGTCCTGGGCCTGAACAGATTGTTCCCCAGAATGCCCTCTCTCACAATCAGTTGACCAATTCCGATCAGTTCCCGTTCTCTTCGTTCTTTTCGTTGGTCAGGGCAACCCTGCTGTCGTAGATGCCGCTGCTTCGAGCCCTAACCCTTGGATACCCTGAAACCCTCCATCCACAGGTTTTTCCACGGAGCCAACCGAAAAGATCAGCACACTCCTTTCCCGCGTCGTTTCCTCGGGCCGCGTCGTTTCCCCGAGGAAAAGATCAGCGCGCTTTTCGGACTGGCGCCAGAGATGTGATTGCACTGACGAAAGGCCAGGGCACCCGAACGCTCGGCCCATGGATTGGGGTCAGAGAGAGCTCGAAACCAGCAGGGCCTTCTTGGAAGAGGGAACCAGATGATGACGTGTGTATATACTGTGTATATAGTTATATACGTACATATTTTTAAGTGTCTTCTTTTAAATACGTACGTTTGGGTTCCGATGTTGATCATTGAAGAAGTACCTTCACGTGCTGTCAGACGTCAATCCTGCTGGGGTCATGCCGCTGCCTGGTGACACAAACTACTCTAAATGACGAGAAGTGAGATCAACCTATGTGATCATGCCAATCCTCCTGGGATTTCAGAAGCTTTTAATCATGGCTCTAAACATGTGTTGTTGATACCTCTTACAGGCTGAAGTTTTGAAGCGTTTGGTGTCGTCATCCACAAGATGGACTGACGCCCTTTCCGCTACAAACAGCAATTGCCACCGCGCTACATGGTGCGTGGCGATGTGGGCAATAGCCTGAAGTCCCACAACCAACCAAAAGTCCGCAAGGAAACGCAGATTCGGGGGCCCGGCCCAAAGAGATATGGGGTGATGACCTTTCAGATACCAATGGCCTGTATTCATGGCCAAATAGATCGAGCTGACGTGAATCTTTACCTCAGCCAATTTGGAAGAGTCCAGTCGTTCCCTGTCAAATTTAAGCGGTTGGAGTTGGAGAAGTCTTGCTTTTAGAAGCCCAAAACCACCGCCAAGACACGACCGGAAGACAGAACTGCCACCGACCGGTATTGCCCAGAAGCCCTGCATCAGCCAGAGATGTCTTTGGCCGCCACCAAAGACGACCTCTGCAGCGCTCCAGAAATGGAGTGGATCGGCCAAAGAAGGGTTTTGTAAGCGTGTGCGCGCCTTCGAAGAGAGCTGGGTGTGGGTCAAAGCCAGAGAACCTTGGTTCACCGTGGACCGTGCCCAGAATGTAGACACCTATAGTGTAGCAGGATTTTGCAGCTTGGTTTTGACCTGCAGCCATCTGCGTGTGGGTTTGGTGGTGGTGGTGGTAGTAGTAGTAGCAGCAGTAGCCCTAGGCTCGGTCAATGCTTTTTACTATTTGCTTCATTTTGGGGCTTGCACGGTTTGGCTGTGAGGGTTTGACTTTGCATCATGTGTGTCAAGGGGCAGGCAGATTTGTTGAACATTTGGCTCGCCATGGAAAACTACGTGCAGCTCTTGACATGTATTTGATCGTTTTTCATTTTGAGTTATAGCTGCCAGCGACATCCTTCGTGCGACATCTTGGCCCCAGTTGAATTGGCAGCTCTTCTTTGTCTTCCTCGTGGAGCATGATCTTCCACAACTGGCTGATGAACTTGATCCAACTTAGCTACAATGAACAGCTAAAACAGCAAGTTCCAGACTGTTTCGAGATTTGGTGAACGTTCCCTGCTGGTGGTCCAGTCACCCTTTGAGTGTGTATTTTCGGGCTGGTCATAGATTCCAGACTATTCTAACCACACTTGCCACAACCTTTTTGCCTAGAGATCCCCTTGCTTCAAGCAATGGCGGGATATCAGGACTCTTGGTACAGTTCAAGCCATGCAGTCAACACGCTCGCGAGTTACTCTGGTTACTCTGGATGTGTTCGGCCAGTCCCCCTTTTTCAGCTCGCCAGGAGAGGCCTGAGACATGGCTGAAGGAGCAATTCTTTGGACCTCTCCATGATCAGTTCAAATTGGGGAAACGCTTGGGCAAGGGAGGCCCGGCCACAAAACGCTTGTTTTGTCGCTTCAGAGCAGCACCGTGTCCTCTCCATCACGACGTGTCCGGTCGGTGTCGGGTTGCGGAGCGGCCGATGCAGGTCAGGCGACTGTCTACGAGTGCACACGAGTGAGGACCGAGAAGAAGTATGCCGTGCCTTGATCGACCAGTATATCGCAGGATCTCGCGAGTGGGGGATGGAATTCGAGCGCCACAGATGCGAGTGGGAGGCCAGAAGGCTGGCCATGGAAAAGATGCCTCCAGCATCCTCCAGCTGCAGCGTCATCCTCCAGTGTTTCCTTTCAGGGTCAACGTTCAGGTATGTAGTTAAGTATTGATGACTTCATTTCATGTCATGTCATTTCGCCTGCCTGGGTGACTCTGCGCTATCTTTGGCACCTGGTCTTCGCTTGCAAGGTGAAAGTCATTGAGATGAAAGCGCTGAACTTTCAGAAGAATGACGGGGAGCAGAACCTACGACGGGAGATCCGCAACATGGAGGACACATCCATCCTCCGCAACGACGGGAGCACGGCCATGGAGCCCAGAAATTCCGACTTCCATCCTAAACTTAGCTCAGCTCCAAAGCTGGCCATTTTGCTTTACATTTATTGCCCGAGACACAGAGATACAGGTAGCCAACTCCTTGAGATGTGAAATGACTGTGGCCAGGAGCTTTTTCACCCACGGATCGTGAACCTGCTGACACACCTGTATGAGGCCGGCTCCAAAAACACTTGCAGCATTTTTGGCACCGGAGCTGCGAAGTGAAGCAGGAAAGTGCATCTTAGTCGACTTGTGTGGGTCTTTTTAGTGGGTTGTCTTGATGCTTGGCTGGGTGGTTGGTGGCTGAGTTCAAAGACATTCATTCAACTTTGTCCATCCAGTGCCTGAGTCGAGGAAAACAGGTGTTGGCTGGTCATGGACCTGGCTCGCGGGGGAGACTTGCACAACAAGATCCTCGACGAGGTGAACATCTCCATGAGTCGAGGCCGGTCGCACGCTGGTCACTGAGAAGATCTTGGGGATTGGTGGATTTGTTTGACAAGGGCATTGAGGGAGGTGTTTCTCCGTAGAGGCAAGAATCCTGCGTGTGGGCTTGCC